TCCCCAAAACTGCTGAGCTGCTTTATTTTCAGCAAGTAGTTGTTGTGGCTTTGTTGTTGGTCCTTTCCCCTGCCTTCTGCCCTTCCTGCTCATCCTGGTCCCTCTGGAGCTCCCCAGAGCAGAGATGTTGCTGCTTTTCCTACCAAAAAAGTAATAAAGACCGGAGCATCTTTATTCTAGGCAGAAGTAGTAATTCATCCCTCTGCCTGCAGAATTATGTGCTCCACGGGTCCAAGCAGCCCAGCGCAGCACCGCAGCCCTTCTGTGCCACTGGGTCTGGAGGGTTTTCCGCTCACCGACTGTGGCCGGGGGCAGCTCTGTAATGGTTCTTGTTACTTCAGCAAAACCCCTGTGGCCTGTTGTCCTGCTGACACATAGCCTGCAGCAGGAGAGGCAGAGCTGCCAGCAGGGTGGGAGCGTTGTAGAGAGAGAAACTGATGGAAAATCCCATCTGGTTTAATTTTGGGAAGCTGGAAGGAGATGAAGGTGGCAGGAAATGTTGTCTAGCGTGTGTGCAGGCAGCAGATTGCATTAGCTCAAGCTTGGAAACACACTTTCCCTCGCAGCTGCTTGGTGTTTGTCACTACAGAAATGGGGGGGATTGGTGTGGCATGTGAAGGTGTGTGGCTCACCGCTCACTTCTTTGTGTTTTCCAGTACCCCTAGTCCTGAAGTACCATACCTGATGGAGCAGCTGGAGGCTTCGGTGGAGCTGGCTCTGGGATAACCAAACTGCTGTGTAATTTAAGTGAGATATCTGTATATAGCTTTGAAGTTGTTTTTCTCCAAGGAGCGAGGAGGCAGCGGCAAGTAGCCAGTTCTAACAGAGTGTTTTAAGAACTGCCAAATGACCCTTTTTTTGGTCGAGTACCTGCTCCTGCTGTCAGACTTTTTTTATAACAGACGATTCAGTTCCCAAACTGCCCATTTTGTGGAATTCTGGGTCTCTGGTTTGGAGCTAGCTACTTGCCACTACGGTTTATCTGTATATATGGTTGAGCTGTAATATTAATAATAATGCCATTTAAGCAGTTCCCCACTGCCTGCTGTGGAAGGCAGAGGGGACTCTGTCCTTTCAGAGCAAAGGAGGGGAAAAATGAAGAGAAACATACCATTATGTTACAGGGAAGTGACCCTTCTGTGGAGAACTGCAAGGGTGGTGTTTCTCTCTTCAGGGGAAAAAAATAAAAGGGGGGGGAGGGTGGACAGGGAAAAAAAAAAGAAATAATTAGGTTTTACAATCCAGAAGACTTTCTGGTCCTGCCATGGGAATGCACAAGCTCAGTGTTTTCAGTATTGCTGCTTACAGCTGTGACTAAAGACATTCCAGTAAACCTATTTTTGACTGTACATCTAGAGTTCCTATGTGTCTTCATAGCCTTCTGGAGGATGTACACAGCTCTCCACTGCCGGAATTCCCTAGGAAAGGGCTGTTTCGGTGTTTTCTTCACCAGAAGCAAGAAGTGTGTGTAAAAACCCACCTATTAGCCCAATGATATAAGAGATGCAGCAGGAGGACAGCAACTCTCCTGAAACCAGTCCAGGGTGAACAAGCCCACTTCGTATTCGGAACCCTTCACTTTGATGTGGTGGTTGCAGTCCCAAATGCCAGCCCGTTTTGCTTCCCTGTGATCCAGCGGGCTGGGGGTTGTTCCCAGACAGATGCGCTGGGGTGCCTGGGGAGGTGTAGGGATCTCTGTGCTGGACTACACAGGAGCTGAGCTCTTCCATCCATGGGTGGGACTGCTGTGTTTTAGCTGTCTCCATCCTTGGTCTCGGGTGTTGGTGGCATTTCTGTCTGCCCTTTATTTTTGGGACCCTCATTCCTTCCAGCCCTGAGCCTGGGACTTTAGCTAAGCTGAGATCGGGCTCTCCTGGTTCTCTTTTTGCTGTCTCTTTTCTGATGAGAGAAGCATTGACCTGCTTAGCATGTGTCTGAAGTAATGCTGGAGAGGGGAAACAGTGCCCCAGAGAATTCCCGGTGCCATGTCCCAGCTTCCTCTTCTCAACCTGCCCCCAGGACCTTGTACACAGTTTCCACCTGAGTGGTGGTGCGGCTCCGTACAGAGAAAGGGATTAAAAGTGAGCACAGCAGGCTGGCGGGTCGGATGTGATTACAAGCTCTGCTTGCCCAGCTGGAATATAAATAGGGCTTTTCCCCTCTGTGGGCCCTGGTCTCTCCAGGTGGGAACCAGAAAGCCAAGCTGGGTTTTTCCTCTTGATGCGTATCCTGGTTTTAAGATCATGCACCCACTGAAAGGGACAAAAATCATCCTGCCTATGCCTTTGGCTACTCCCCACCTGCAAGGGAACAAGAGGGAGGGAAGAGGGACTGTGTCTGTCTACAGGGGGGCTGCAGGTCTTGCTGAACTATTGCGTACCTTTTCCCGCCAGCTGGAAAGTGAGTTAATGGAACTGCAAGCCCGTGTAATGGCTGTGCTGTGCCTGCTCTGACCCATCTGCTAGGGCAGGCTTTACTCCTGCTGCTGGAGAGTCCTTCCAGTACCTCTGGCTTTCTCTCCCAGCCACATCTTGCTTTGCTGCTGCCACCCACAGAAGGACCTTGGTGCCACAGCAGCGTGTCAGGACTTCAAATCCCTCCTGGCACCAGATCTGAGAAAGAGAAGTTAGTTTTGCAGTTGCTTGCTAGACGCGAAGCCTGGCTTTAAAGCTGGGCTGAGGGCCTTGGAAAATGGGTGCCTGAAGGATGAAGGCTTCATGGCAATCCTATTGTGGTAAAAAACTGCTTATAGCTCCTAAATTTGGGAGCTGCTGCTATACCCTCCGTAGCCCTGTCCTTGCTGGGTTCGGCAGATCTGTCAGCACTATGTCCTTAGGGAGAGTTTCCAGATAGCGTTGAACCCTACTCAGTGCAGGCATTGGTATAACCACCCCAAGAAGTGCTGTTCTTATCACCATGCCAGCGGTGTGCTGCTTCAGACAGGCACAAATGCTTTTCCAGCTGACCCAGATCCATGGCAAATGAGGTGGTGAGGCTAGCACCCCTGACCCCGGACCACTTATGACTTGTGCCTGCCTTGGACTCATCCTTCGGTACCAGTGGGACTGGACCAGGCCTAGCACAGGCAGCAGATTCTCACGCTAGAAAAGCTGGCTTTCCTCAACTGCTTTGCTGGAGTGCTTTCGCAGCATCTCTCAGGAGGTTGGGGTGCAAACAGTTGTACTTGAGATGCAGGGCAGGGAAAGCTACCATGTCCAAAGCCTTCAGTGTGCTTCCCTGGGTTGCCAGGATTAGGTGTTGATCACTTTTATGTTCAAGTCACTGAATGCCACAGTGACTTGAGCACAGATCTTCTCAAGGGACCAGCTCTGGCTGTGAAAGGCACCACCAGCAGCAAATCAACAGTCCTGGCCGGTAACTTCACTGTAATAGAAGTTATTGAGCAAGTTTTATGGATTCCCCCTCACCTTCCCCCCCACAAGGTTGAAAAGACCATTGCAATGTCTGGTCTCAGCTACATTACAGAGCAGTCCTCCTTATGTTCTTTTGAGATATCATGGTCTTCATATTGCAGCCTGCGCTATGCCACCCTGGACTGGTGGCAGGGAGAACTGTAGTGAGTGCAAAGGGTTGTTGTTTCCAGCAGCATCTGCATGCTTCGGGGTTGGTTTTCACTTAGGAGATGTTATGAAGGAGATTTTACAACAAAAACAATTCCTTCACCCAAGTGTAGGGTCTGTTTTATCCATTCCCTCTTTGTGCAGAAGACAGACCTCTGCATTAGCTGCTGTTTTCCACATGATCACTTTTTTACAGGGAACGGCATGTTTTGGCTGAAGTTGTGCGTTCCTGCTGCAGGGCTGGTTCCTCCTCCCATGCTTGCTGGTGTGACCCATGCGGAAAGACCCCAGGGTCCCCACAGCTTAAGGGCACTGGGGCTGCAGGGATGGATGTCAGCAGCTCTGATGCAGGTGGGGAGAGGAGTCCCCACTCCCAGCTCTGGGAGCTGGCCACACCAGAAGGGACGAAGTCCCTTTTTGGGGGGCTGGGTCTGAGGTGGAGGGCTGGGTATGGCAGTGGGAGAGCTCCCAGAACCCTGCTGCTTCACAGGGCACTCATCCCCACTACCCTTTGGCTGGGGAGCACTGGGCTTCACTGACCCGTTCCTCTAGGGCTCCACACTGGCAGCAGGGACCATCTCTTGACTCCCAAGTCCAGCTCTCCCCACTGAGGTTTTTGCTACAGCCGCCAGCTGGTTCTGCATTTACCTTCAGAGAGATGGAACTTGATCGCTTTCACACAGGAAATGTGCAAAGACGTGCCAGAGGTCGGGGAGTAAATAGCAGCACCGCTTGGAGAACAATCCATTACCCAACTCCTCCGACTACATGTGATTCTACTTCAGGGAAAACAGAGAGAGGGATCCTCCGGCCGCGGCTGCCAAACGCTGGGGAAGTAAACAGGGAGGCGGCC